AAACAACACATCTCACCTAGACAGCCTAATACCTACCCCCCTATGACAAGCCCCTACAGGAAATACTCCAACCCAGCCAGATGGGGATGGGAGGGGTCTTCAAAGAGTAGCCCAAAGTCGGGTAGCCCAAAGTCGGGTAGCCCCTGGAGATATGACAAAAAACGTCCGTCTGGCTCGGGCCTGCCAACCTCTACAAGCCAACAGTCCAATCAGCACAACTTGCCTCCGAAAAAGCCTGAAACTCCCATGCAGAACCCTTTAAAATCTATTCACGTACTGCCTCGAAAGACATACCCGCAACCTATGAACGTGAATGCCTATGGTATCTCGTTAACTCCTCATCGGGAATCGCATAAGAAAGCCTCTCCAGCCACAACACTGGCACAATCTTCTCCTAAAGCCGAGTCTATCCCCAAAAAACTCAACTCTGGCATAGACCAATCTCACTTCAAAGAGCCTCCCTCAAAACCTCAAGTTAAGGACCCCTATCCCACCTCTTGCAAGAAGGATCAAATAGACTCTCCATCACATTTTATCTGGATCGACCACGCATCTCCTCCTTCGATACCGAACCCAACCAGGCACACATTGAGAAAAAACTTAGATGATGAGGTAATCAATGCACCAACACTTGAGAATTCTGGCACCAGAGAAACCAACCTACATGTAGGACTTGCTGCAACGCCAAATGACCGTATCCAGGATAATCAGACCACTAGAAGAAATTGCTATGAAGAAAGGAATGGAAAGCCAATATCCATCAGTGAAAATAGCTTGAATGTACAGGTTAACCAGGATGATCAAAGAGTTCCCATTCCTAATCATTCTCACAACTCCAGAAATACTACTGTCCAAACCCCACGTGTCAAACAAAACGCTCAGCCGGTTTTTCAGTATGGCCGTGCCTCGACCTTAACCCACATTGCCCTTCTAGAGAAAGCCTACTATCTCACCACGACTGCCTTAAACATCCTGACTCAACCTATGAACGTCCCAGATCTTATCAGTTCAACATGCCTAAGGCATCTCCACATGCAAATCATAGAATGCACGGACTCAAGCCTCCGTCTCCTACCCACAACGCCCATGCAATAAACTACTCTACGGCCAACACAAACAGTCCTAGACCCTCTCCACTCAAACATAAACCAGTGAAAATACCAGAACTAATTAATGACCAACCCAAGATTGTTCTAGGAACCTTTAACACAAGAGGTTTCTCAACCATCTCAGCTTTTCTGCAAGAAAGACTTAAGTCTATTGACATCCTTGGAATCCAAGAACACTGGCTAACAGACAACATTCAAATATTAAGTGCCGTCAGTTCGGACCACTCCGTTATCATCAAGCAGGCAGAAAAGACTACAGACTCCTTCTACAGTACTCGAATGAGAGGCAAGGGTGGTGTAGCACTCTTCATACGGACCACACTATCTGAGACATGCAAAGAAATACCATGTGAATCACCAAGAATTGTGGCAGCCTTCATCCGCCTGAGATACTCCTCAGAAACTCTTGTGGTAATCTGCTGCTATCTACCCTGTGGAATATCCTTGAATGATCAAGCAGGCTATCTCAACTGTCTTGCAAGCTTCACACAAATCAGAGAAAGCTACCCATCTTCCTCAACAATCATTCTGGGAGACTTCAATGCAGATACTGTTACTAGTAACCAGACCAAAAAGACAGGTTTTATCTTAAAGGACTTCATGCATCAGCATGCACTCACGAGCCTCACAGCCGCACATTGTGATGAGAATGACCATACCTACTGTGCAGATGATGGAAGACATAAATCCAGCATTGATGGCTTTCTGGTGCCAACCATTGAGCTTTCCCTGTTCTCTAATACTGAGATAACTGGGGATGAAACGTCTAACACCTCAGATCATCTTTTGGTCCTCACAAGGCGACTAGTTCAACCCAAAGATGCAAGACGAACTCACCTCAGTGTCAACATGCAGAGCACTCCCCTGCACAGGATGAAAATCAAATGGCACACTGTAGAGCGCAAAATGATTCAGGAGAAATATACCACTCCCATGGAAAGAATTGCATTTCTCATCTTTCAAAACAATAACTCAAATCTCCTTGATGACACCTCGATTGACGGACTACTGCAAGAATTCATCTCGGCAATGCAGATGACCTCACTAGCACTCCCGCACACAGTTCTCTCCAAGAAGAAAAAGGGCAAACCTGAATGGACACCACAAGTTCAAGTAGCTTACAACACTGCCCAGAAAGCCAGAAAAACCTGGCTGAAGGAAAGTGGTGCTAAGACAGGAAGAAGATATCATGATCACATGAGAGAGAAGAAGTCGTTCAGGAGTTGCCTGAGACAAGCAAATGCCATCCAACGACGTAATCTTCAAAAGCAAGTTGAAGAGGCCTCGCGCTCGGATCAAACACTCTTCTACCATCTGATAAAGAAGAGCAAAGGCAACAAGCAGCAAAACGTAACTACCTCCATTGATTATGATGGCCACACATTTGATGGTCCAGATGTCATACTTGGATGGCACAAGTATTTCACGGACCTGGCACATAATCCCTCCCACCTCCTTTCATCTGAGGAAAGCAAGGACTGTGCAGATATGCCTGTTGAGAGTACCCAATGTGCCTCCTTGAAAGACCCTTCGACATCCCAGTGCCATCATGTATCACGTCTGAAGTATCCTGAGCTACAGGCTGCCATTGACTCACTCAAACCAGGCAAAGCCAGCGGCCCTGACAATATCAGCTCTGAACACATCAAACATCTCGGCGTGATTGCACAAAGACTCCTTCTCTTCATCCTGAATGCTATCCTACAAAGTGGTCACTGCCCAAATTCTATGAAGACAGGTATCATTCTGCCTTTCCACAAAGGCAAAGGAAAAAGTATGCAGGATCCTCGCAACTACCGTGGCATCACTCTAACTCCAACACTCACAAAGCTGCTTGAAACCTGCATCAGGCCTCGTCTTGAGGCGCAGCTGTCCATCAAAGACATCCCTGACCAACTTCAGTTCGGCTTCCGCAAAGGCTTCTCATGTCAACTGACTGCGTTGTGCCTTCAACTCACAATCGAGATCTCAGGAGCTTCAAAGAGACCATTGTATATTTGCTTCCTGGATGCAGAGAAAGCATTTGATAAAGTTTGGCACCTTGGCTTACTCCATAAGCTAAGGAATTCTGAAGCTGATCAGGACATCCAGCACATCATACGCAACCTGTATAATGGAATGGAAAGTCAAGTCCTCTGGGATGGCAGAGTTACACAAACCATCCAAATCCAACAGGGTGTTCGTCAAGGTGGAGTCCTTTCTCCCACGCTATATACTCTGTTTGTCGATGGCTTGATCAAGAAGCTCAGAGACAGTCAGCTAGGATGCATCATTAATGGCCGCTACTCCGGTGTCATTGTGCTTGCAGACGATGTCGCCTTGATCAGCAACACACCATCACAGCTGCAAGAGATGATCACGGCAACCCAAGCCTACACAAGAGAGTGGCGCTACAAAATCAATCCCGCCAAGAGTGCAGTTGTGGTGATGAATGCTCGTAAGTTGGACAGCCAACAGGAATGGACCATGGGTGACCTCACTATATCCCGTAAAGTCTCTCACGTTCATCTTGGAATCACAAAGTCATCATCTCAGACTGATCCGACTGATTGCATCATCTCGAAAGGTCTTCATGCCTTTTACGCCCTCTGCGGTGTAGGAGCCCATACGCTAGGTCTTGTCCCTCTCCTCTCTGTACGCCTTTGGAACATCTACTGCATCCCCAGGATGCTCTATGGCACATCTATCTTACACCTCAATAAGTCGATGTTATCCAAACTAAACCGTGCACAGACCCATCTATTCAAGCGTATCCTTGGCATTCCTGTCACAGCTGCTGATGAGAGTGTATCCCTCCTAACAGGCCTCATACCAATCAGCCATAGAATTGGCCAAGAAAAGCTACTGCTTCTTGGTCAACTACTGGACCTCGACTCCACCAGATTCGAGCGGCGGACCTTTCTTCATGCCCTCAGCATCGGCACTTCCTCAGTAAAAGGCCTGAAAGGTATCCTGGATTTGTACAAGCTTCCAACCATTGAGGACCTTATTACAAATCCTATTCCCTATGTCTCCTGGAAGCGCAGAGTTAAGAACTCAATCTCTGCTGCAGTCGAGGATGCTACACAGGAAGGAGCTGCCACCAAGTCGTCCCTCGCATTCTGGCATGGCAAATCCATCAACCCAAGGAACCTCTACCCCAAGGACCCACCGTCAACAATAATCAGACAGGCACTGACCATAAGAGCACAGCTTCTCACATCAACCTACCTCACCCGAACCCGTCTTACCAAGATTAAGAAAGCAACCAACACAAAGTGTCCTCTCTGCAATCTTGAGGAGGATACCGTAGTTCACGTTGTGGCTTCATGCTCGACTACTGTCAACCTTCTGGACGACCTTATCGACAGAGCCAGTAGACTCCTGCATAATGTCCTCGACTCTGCACCAAATACACCACTGCTCAACACCCAGGACCCTTCCCATCTGACTTGCGCTATTCTCTTGCCATATGATCCATACCTTCCCTCCACTGTCAATGATTCTATTTTAAAGATGACACTTCACTATCTTTACAAAATTCATGCCCATCGCCTGCACTCCATACCCTCCAACTAAGGATTTTATAACATATTTACAGCAGCCTACTACTTCGAATGCGATATACTCGCTGATCTCCGAAAAGCGGAGGGACAACAACAGAGAGAGAGAGATCACAACTTCAAAAATCCTAACTTCCTTATTTTTAATCGGAATTTGCTCAAAGTTTCACTGACTTGTTTCTCTCATTTTTCTACTCCTATTAAAACTAACTTAATTTCAGGGTGGACTTCCCCTTTAACGAACGTAAGACTAAGAGATGGAAAATTCGGTCTAACATACGACTAGCGGACTAGGAGCACTCCTCAAAATCAGTATGTGGGACCGAACGAACCTGCAAGCTGCACTTACCGATAGTCAATACCAGATTACCAGCTCACTGTGTCTTGAAACAGTCCAGTTCGGTGTCAGATTTGGGCTCTAGAGCTCCGGGGAGAGATTTATGGACAGGATTTGGTAGTCTGGAATTTACGTTTCCCAACTCAACAGATCTCAACAGGGACATGGATCATGGAATCATCTTGGAGACACGAGTCTTTACTTCGCAACTGAATCAATCAATCAATCAAACAATCAATCAATCAATCTTATCAATCAATGCTAGAAATGCGTATTATTGGCCCCTAGCGCGATAGCGCATTGCGTACATGTACATTTACGTGGACGTGCGCGTGCGTGCAGCTCCAAAACGACAACATGCTTTCCTACATAGCCCCAGGCGAAGATCCAGGGAGGGGGGGGGGGGGCAGCGGGCCTTGCCCCCTGCAAAACAAAAAACAAAAGAGAGAGAGAGAGAAGAAAAAGAAGGGAAAGAGGAGTGAAAGGGAGAGAAAGAAGAGGAAGAAGAAAAGAAAAGGGGAAAAAGAAGGAGACCGGGAGGCGGGGCGAAATTAGGGCGCGCCTATAATTGCATGCCTCCCATGCATCTGTTACCTCCCTCCCCCCCCCCCTCCCCCCCTCCCCCCAGAAGGAAAGAAAAGGGAAAGAAAAAATGAAAAAAAGGAGATAAAGGGAAGTAAAAAAGAGGAAGAAGAAAAGAAAAGAAGGGGGATATCAGTTGCAATTTTCCCGCGAACAAGTTGTAGTTCGGGCGGGCCAAAAGGCCCTTGCCCCCCAACAACAACAAATGGGGGAGGAAGGGGAAGAGGAGAGCTAAAAGGGAACAAAAAAGTGAAAAGAAGGGGAGAACAGTTGCGATTAATCCCCCAACAACGTGTGGATCGGGGTGGGGGCAAGGCCCTTTCCTCCCCCAGCAAACCTGAGAGAAGAAAGGAAAAAGAAAGGAAAAGAGGAGAGAAAGGGAAAAAAAAGAGAAAGAAGAAAGGTAGGGGAGATCAGTTACGATTTTCCTACCAACAAGGTGTAGATCAGGATTTCGGGGGGGGGGGGGGAGGGCGACAGCTGCCCCCAAATATAATTAAAACGTGGTTTAATTATTCCTAATTCGATACCGGTGATTTACAAATGTTGCCGAAATGACATAATTTTCCTCAATGTTTAGTAAATTATCTTTTTTTATGCGTTTGTCGGCAAATGGCAAATTCATAAAAAAAGAATATTGACCTGCCTTTGTCACAAAAATAATAAGGTGTCAAAAGTTGTTCATCTGACGGTAATTAATGCCTAAAAACCCGGAACTCCTGGGGGCTCCGCCCCCGACCCCAAATCCTCAAAAAGGTAAAAAAAGGCCCCGGCTGGATCCGCCACTGTCCGGGGCTGCGCCCCCTCGACCCCATCAGGGGCCCTAAGGTGGGACTCTGCATGCTTATCTGACCGTTATAAAATGTTTAAAGCCCCTGAGCCTCAGGGGGCTCCGCCCCCTTGTCCCCACGCGAATTCGTGACCTGCCAGTGTCACAAAATAGGTATAAAAATATGCTCATCTGACCGTAACTTAATGTATAAAACCACTAGGCTTCTGGGGGCTCCGCCCCCTGGACCCCACATCATTTTGTGTCCTGCCAGTGTCACAAATATGCTCATCTAGCCGTAATTTATTGCCCAAAACCCCTGAGCTTCCGGGGGCTCCTCTTTATCTGGACACCACACCAATTCGTGACCTGTCAGTGTGAGTGAGTGAGTGATGGTGAATATTTTACCTGACTGCTAAATAAGCATAAATGTTTGTAAGAAAGTAACCAAACGGCCGACGGCTTTAGGTCCTCTCCGAGGGATCTGGTAATGAGATTTATAATGCCTTATACACTAGCGCATCGACTTGGTTTCGAACCCGGGTCACCGGATTACGAGACCACTGCTCTACCGACTGAGCTATCGCGCATCCTATCGCGCCAGTGTCACAAATAAGGTTTCAAAAAATGCTCATCTGACAGGAATTTAATGTATAAAACCCCTGAGCTTCTGGGGGCTCCACCCCTTGACCCCTGCAGGGGCTTCGCCCCTAGACCCCACGCCAATTTACGCAACGCTCTACCTGATCGTAAATACCTACCCCCCCCCCCACCTACATTATACTTAGAGAAACGTTCAGCGGGGCCTGCATGTAAGAGTGGGGTGGTGCGGATTTTTTTGTCTACCCCCCCCCCCCGTCCCCAAACGTTTTTGCTCATTTCGCCACTGCTGGTGTCACCATTACGTACCAATATTTGGCTCACATCATTTTAAATTTGCCCCCCCCCCCCCAAGAAATCCTGGATCCGCGCCTGCTACCTTTCCCCTCATTTTGGCTATAACATCCTTTTTAAGGTGTCGTGCAGCATGTGCACCTTCCGAAGGAGTCGATGGTACTGTATATAGATTTGCGAAATTTTGAAATATTAATTATAAATTAAGGCTCACAGCTTTCTTTTTCTTCTTCATATAGCTTATTCTTCTTCTCTTCTTTTATTCCACCCCGTAAACTCTCTTTCCCCTCCTATTCCCAATTTATCCTTATTTCCCTCTACCATCTCTTGTTACCACATATAGTTAACAGCTAAATTATTCATACCCTTACCAATTTTCTAATTTTTTAAGTGTGTGAAAAAGATACTTTTTTGTCACGATTTACGTTTCGTGAGAATGTGACATATTAAAGCATACACTTGAAAGTATTTATACTAGTCCATCTTTTATTCCTGAGTTACGAAAAACACACACATACGCACAAAAACAAAAACAAAATCAAATTTACAAGGTGTATGAATAATTTAGTTGTTAATTGTACATGTAATGTCTTCATTGCGTTTTTTTAAAGTGCATTTTGTCAATGCATGGTATTGTGAATGTCGCCATCAGCAGTGGAAGTCTCTGCTACGGTATCCAGGTCTTGAATCGAAAATTCAGTCAGAAACACCGCGGAGGCCCATGTTAATAATACATAGCTACGTCTTGACTATTCTCTTGACTGCCTTGATAGGCCGCTTGGCTTAATATGCCTTTGGAGGGGGCGGGGGCGGGGGCGGGGGCGGGGGGGGGGGCTAATAAATCATGTCAAAGGTGAGCAGCGGATCGAGTAATAAGCAAATAATTTGAGGTGGTTTGACAAGTTAGAAAAGCACCAATCTGTCTAACGCTCTGATTATCCAATAAAATGTTTACATGTCTTCCCTCGTTGAAACAAAATTATCGAATGACTTTGCATAGGTGTATGTAAATGGACTGGTTATAGTAGGCCTATGAGAGGGAAATTCTCCTCCTATTGTAAAGAGCATTTAATAATAATTGTAAAAGAACAAAACAAATATTTATATCTCGCATTCCGGTATAATTTGATCATTGCGAAAAGTGATAGGGTTTAACAAAATTATTCCTCATTGGAACATTCTTTTTCTCGGTTTCGTCCTTTATATTGGCACGTTATTTTTGCTGTACAATAGGCTATAAATAATAAATATTAAGCAAGTCGTATTTCCAATCAGGATAAAGGATTTGACTGTGTTTCTAGTGTCTAAACTTTGAACTGAAATTTGTTTTATTCCTTTTTGCTCCGTACGATCCATCGCATATAGTACCTATGGCAACTTCGGTCATAATGAACACCCTCGATGCCCACAAAACGTTTAATGATCAATGTTGTAAGTCTAGAATTGTCATGGATTGTATCGTTTAAAAGTGCTTTGAACAGAAATAAAATTTCGGTACTGCAAATTGAAAGTGCATGCATGGTGAGTCATACATGCCCTGGGAGGAAAGGTTCCCCTGCCACATTAGCTACAACACTTTACCCACTTTGCATAGCAATATTATCCTACTTCACAGTGACAATCTACTTTATGTCCCACTTTATGTTAGCGAGTATTTTATTGGATTGGGGGTGAAATGCTCATCAGAAACTTGATATACCTGCTACGGTGACTGTTAAAGGTGTAATTTAGCACAATTACCTCGATTCGGTTGTTATAAAAGCTGATTGCTGTTGTAATTCAGGTAGAATAAGAAAAAAGAGAGAAAATCTGTGACCGTGAAGTCAAGAGTTAGGACCCTAAACGACTCACAGTAAGTTATAATTTAGCTCGTTGCATGAGTACGAAGAATTACATTATTCCATGACTGTTCAGAACAAGGCAGATATAAAACATCAAATGCCAGAAAATGTCAAAAGACCTCTCAAAATCACCTTTCAATTCAAGACGGAATTAGGGTCACAGCTAGACCCAATGCCGCCCGACCGGGGAATTCGAAGGAACAGGGATTCTCTATGCGCGTTCTCTCTCTCTCTCTCTCTCTCTCTCTCTCTCTTTCTCTTTCTTTCTTTCTCTCTCTCTCTCTCTCTCTCTCTATCCCTCTCTTAGTTTCTCGAGTCACTCTTAATATGTTCTCTCTCTCTCTTCCTCGCCTTCTTTCTTACTTTCAACTCTCTTTTTTTTCTCTCTTCCTTTTTCTTTATTGCAGTAACGTTTCTTTCCCCCTCCTTCTAACTCTGCATCTTTTTTTCTTTTTTTTTAAACTCTCTTCCCCCTCTCTTTTTTCCTCCCTTCTGTCTTTTCTCCCTTATTCTTTCTGTTTCTCTCTTTGTTTCTCGTGTTCTCTCTCTTTCTCTCTGTCATGTTCCGTCCCTTCAAACCATGCAGAGACCATGGTGTGCCTCAAAGATTTTCAATTTTAACTTTTGCCATCAGAGCATGGTGAGAAAACGACGTATACCTGTTGGAAGCAATTATCAAAACGGGTATCACAGAGTCAATGTAATACTCGATAAATGCCGCTTTGTGTTAGAATATTGCAAGTTTAACACAATCAGATTTTCTCGGATAACGTTTCAATTTTTTCCTGCACATAGTTTGGACGATAAAATGCCAGTAGATATTTACCTTGTAACATGCAGCCAATAGTCATACCCTCAGGCACACCGCCAAACTTGTTTTATGCCTCAGTCACACCTGTGCGTATTTAGCTTGCGTATTTATGGCAAGCCGTTTTAACATTATTTTATTCCTGTATCTTGATATCAAGAAATGATTTTCTGTTGTAAAGCAATGGTTATTCCTGATATCAAGAATTCGATTTCTTGATATTAAGAATTCAATTCTTGATATCAAGAAATAGGAATAGATGTTAAAATGCCTTGCAATAACTACGCAGCAATTCGCAAGCCTTAATACGCAAAGGTGTG